ACAGACACGGATACGTCGCTAGTACACAATCAACGAAGCATTTTTTTATGTGCCACCACTTTGAGAAGACAGTAAAATTGAAGACAGTAGACAGACATCCTCAAGCGATAATGTTTTGATTTTTTTTGTTTATTTGCATTGAGCGTTGAGCGTTGAGCGTTGTTATTATTTTTCAACATTCCAAGTGTCAGTCACTTAGTCAGTGAATTTTGCCAAATTAAAATACAAAAATTTTAATATAAAAATTTTTAAACTATTTTATTTAACCGAAAAAAATTTATTGATAATACGACTGGAAAGCAATTAAGTTTTGCTATTATCCTCAGAGCCCCTTTAGTTATAAAAAATTCTTTCCTATCAAAAGTGATTTAATTTGCATCTTTTTTCGGAACTTTTATTCATGTATTCACATTTTACATAGTCAAACGATAATTTGTTTTAAGCCATTTTATAACTTTAAGGTTATACTATAATATCACTATGTGAAGGGTGGTGATATGTTGATATGACTCACAAGCTCGGATTTTCTATTGCTCTAAAAAAATGCTTTACACGTACAAAAATTTAGATTACTGTCAAGACTTAACTTGTTTTTTCGTTGAATTCTATTGGATTACTAAAACCAATGACTATAGTCAGATTCTTGCTAACAGAAGAAGGATATTCCAGGAAAAAACTTTTTTGAAGATTATTTGCAGTTCATCAAAATAGATTTAAATATATTTTATTTACATTTTTATATATATTTCTATATATATATATGTACGTAGACGTAATAATCTTATTGCTGTTATTTTTTTCCCCTTTACTTAAACACACTCTTTTCCCAAAAACAAAAACTTACCTCTTTCATATTTTTTTTCCATAAATGGTTTCAAAGGTTTATATAGGTATTCAAAATATTTCTAAAATTTCATGCTCAAAACTTCTAGTTGCTAACATATAAGAACTGAAAAGAGTCTGAATTGCATGGTTTTTATTAGTTTAGATTATATTGTGAAAGGAGTGATTATTCCACTTGATCCCATTGATATTAGTATTGTATAGTAATTTTAGGTTATATTGTCAAGAGAACTATTCACTTCATTTCGTTGATATTAGAATTGCATACTTCTTAGTAATTTTCGATTACATTGTCAAAATAGAGATATATTTCAACTTAATCTATTAACACAAGCATTGCATAGTTTTTACTAATTTCAGATTAGGATTGTCAAGAGAGGGATGTTTCCCCTTCAATCTGTTTTCATTACGCTACTGGATACAGCCCAGGTGAAGTCACAGATTTGTTTTCAAACAAATGCAGTAGAAGATGGGTGGTTCTATTGTTCTACTTTTCATAAAAATCACTGATGTTTTTATCTTTTAATGTCACTTTGGTAACAGATATGAAAATGTACCGTTAATTAATTACTTTGACCTCAGATTAGTTTAGTCTCAGATGCATATCATTCATCCTTTAATGTAATTTTGGTGGCAGATATAAAAATGTTCTGTTAATTAATTACTTTGACTTCAGAGTGATTTAGTCTGACACATTTAACAGGTTTTTTTTATTTTTGAAATAAGGTGTTCAATTGTCTTAAAGTTTTTATATCTCTCCAAGGCTATCTTCAAAGCTAACATTCGGACTTTTTAGATAGTTTAATGTAAATGTCAGTAAACAAACTTAAACCACAGTGCAAAATAAACTAATAGAGTAGTTATAAAACTGAATATGCTCTGACTGGAATAGTTTAAATTTTTATATACTCCATAAACACATAATAATTTTTTATTAACAAAGTATTGTTAGATATACTAGATAGTCTGTATTTTTTTCGCTTTAATTGCATTTACTTTTTAATTTTTTAATATTTATTCCACACCCTAATCCCCTATAACTTACTTTTCCATTTCAATCTTTCACCTTTTCATTTCATACATTTTCTTTTCTTTCACTTTTCCGTCTATAAGTGCATCAGTGCAGCCTTGGCATTAAGGTTTACACGATTCCGCTAAGCTGCAACTCTTTGTAATCAGACTACGTACTGGCCTTAGTACTCAGCCAATGTCAATTCCATTTGCTGCATTTGGTCCAAGTAATTATGTACATGCGTGAGCATTTTGCTAAAAATGCAAATTAATTGTATGAAAAGTACATGAAATGCAACAAATGTGTCGATATGCTTGCATATAAACAATGCAAATACTTTGCAATTATTTAATGTTAATTAAACAAATTGCTTTATAAATAAAACAGTAATAAACAAATTGAAATGCCAAACAGCAGCTGCAAGTATTTGCATCCAAAGCAACTTTTTCATTGTAAATTAAATTATTTTAATAGTAAGTATAAATTAAATTTCCTGCATTAAAAAATATTTTGAAATTTTTTATTCATTACAGATAGCAGAAAAAACACCTACAAGTAATATTCCCTATATTTTGTATATAGTACTTCACCCTTCGTGATGATGTAAAACTCTTAATTAAAATAATTTCAACCACAACGAACCTATCGCGATTAGAAGTGTGTTTCATACATAAATCTTCCATATTTTGAAAGCAACTTTAGAAGCTACTGAACATTTCTAATTTAACTTTAATTACTCACAATTATAAATTTATTTAATTTTTATAGATTTAAGCTTGCATAATTCGTTTAACAGGTTTCTTGATTAGTATGCACTGCCCTGCACTGTGATAATTACAGATTGCACACTAATTTCAGTGTTTAAGTTTACTTTGCAACAATAAAGGCTTAAGAGCATATTAGATTGATTAAAAGCCACAATATACAAACTAATAAATTCAATCATAAATTACATTCAAGACATACTATAAATCTTCAAAATGCATTTAAAATACAAATACGAGTACGTATATTTCCATATTCAATATTTAAACTAAGAATCAATAATCGAGCAATTGCATTTAGCATATCTCAAACTATTTTTTATTCCTTGTGAACGAAGCAATAAACTTGAATGAACTTGAACTAGTATTTGGAATATGTCAAATGAAAGATTTTATAAACATTCTGGAAAGGACCTTGATCATTACTCAAAATGAATGCAATCCGACCAAATGCGTACCAAATTGAATATAAAAAATCAAATTACTACTTATTGGATTACAAAGGTTATAATACTATAGACATCTTTACAGTTTTTCACATTTTTGACCAGCTGCGTTGAGAATGTAAGTACTATGTAATAGAGTTATACTAATGATATTGCTTGGATCACCATCTGGCTATGAAATCGGGAACGCCGTATGATATGGCAAATATATAAATGTTTTATTGTTTATTGTATTACCATTTTTATACTCATATTCTAATTGTATTATTATTTTTCTCTATGGTACAAATTGAATGATTCAATGATATGTTTTTGAGTAACAAAAAATATAGCAGATGATAAGATTGATGAAAAATTTATTTTTAAAAAAACAATTGCCCCCAACATTTGGAAAGCTCCAAATAAATTTTTAGTCGAGAAAAATTTTAGTTAGCTTGTATACTTTTCATATATATTAAATTTTGAATTGAATTTTATATAGAAAAACTTTTATCTTAAACATATTTTATAGAAATCACTGTCTTATAAGAAATCAAAAAGTTCAATAATTGTTAGATGAAAGATATTGAAATGAAGATACTCATTAATTTTAGTTTTAAATTGAGATGTACACACTCAGTTTATCAGTTCAAACTATTTTGTTTCGCAAAGTTATTTTTCTCTTATAGAGCAGATCAGCTGACTAAATGCTGCTCTACTCTTTTGGAGAATGGGAGTTCCCATATCAAAATGGGAGTTCCTATATTTTCCGTTAAATGTTAACATATGTGAGACAAACCACAACGGCAACTGCATAGTGATAGACAGATTCAAGAAATATAACTATTTGATACCTACAGATATGCACATAACTGGCTAGGGTATCCCTAAGAGACTTCTGCTAAATCTATCAAGATAATCGAAGGTTTATGAAAACACAGTACGGCACAGCTCATACAAAGTGCAAAGATAGGTTTGATTGCGAGAATGCCTTTTAATACTAATATTAACTTAGATGAAAATAAAAAGATAGATTAAATATTAATCACATAAAAAGCGATTAATCAGTTCTATCTCTTCTTCATAAGATTAAATCCTGCAGATTCCACTAATCGGAAGATGTTATCAATGAGACATCGAAGCAACAGCACAATACACCCATCAGCACACCAGTAAGGCTATGCATTTCAGATATCAGCCCTTATACAGTACCTTTTAGCTAACTTCCCTATGTCACGAAACCAAAGTGATGTACAATATTCCATTATAAGCGCGGATTGATAATTTTAGATGTAATTATTTTCAATACTGGCTAGCTGTCTGTAATGATTAGCCTCATTATTTTTATACAATGTGTTATTAGCCTATATAAGTCTGACTACTATAAGTCTGACTTCAGTATATTGCAGTCTGATATCCGTTACAAGCATCAGGAAGTCAATATAACTTACTCACCCAAATGTACTTCGTGTAGATGCCCGGCTCACTCTATTTTTTTAGCCATCAATATGGGATGATTACTTCAAAGTTAATTGTCTAGATCTCCACTCCCGGACTTCACTTGTATAAAAAAAACTAAAGTTTGACTCTCTAGCTTTTTATTTTAAGGAATTGACAGTGTTAGGGAATAATCGATTTAATAAAATTTAAAAGGTTTGTAATTGAGGTCAGATGTTAAAGGTTTAGGAGGTTTGGGAAGCAAATTTCGTAATCAACTGCAGACCAATTGTAGTCTTATAACTTATTTTTTATTGTTATAACAACATATTGTCCACTTCATCGATAATAAATTGAATACAAATTAATATTCACTCAATCACAGTTTATTTTCATGCAGAAAAAATGCTAAACATATAATTCAAATTCTAACATTATAGTATGAAGAAAAAATTAAGATTGTCATATTAAGCAAATATGTACTTATTATAATTCCTAACTTTATTTCAATTTACTTACATATATTTTAGGCTGAATGTGGTTTTAGGCTGAATTATATCTAAAAATAGAAACAATTAAAAAATTAGTTAAATATATGATTTAAAAATAATTTATATTTTTTATAGTACAAGTAATATTCGCTTAAATTCAATATAGTTAAACTGTATCTAACCAGGACTCACAAAGTGCAGCAACTGCTAACAAAGTCGGTCACAAATCAATTGACCAAAACACTTTTTGCTCTTCGACCACAATTGGAACGAATGTTAAACAAAACTCCAACAAATATAAATGCGCCCTCAATCAATTTTTCATCAAAGAAACCCCCAGAAATTTTATTGAAAAATAGAAAAGACAAACTACAATACTAAAAATGAAACGAAAAAGTATTGAAACCGTGGAATATGATGACAGTTTAAACTCTGATCATGATCGGCAACGATCACTCCAAAGGCAAATCGACAATTTCTAGCTGAAAGGCAGTCAGGCAGACAAACAGACAGACAACTTGCACAGCAGTTACACCAGTTTTTATTATGGTATTAGCAAGAAATCTTCCCCTCCTAAATTCATTAAAATAAAACTAAACAATACTTTTTTATTTTAAATCAAACAATCTATGGATTTACTACTTGGCATTAACTAAGCAGAGACGCAGGCAATATGCGGACAGACAGCGGGCATATTTCATGCCGTGGCCAAATTGATCACGAAGATCAGTTAAGGCAGCTTTTCAGTTTCAGTTTGAAAAGATGACGGACTGACATCACCTACGGCATTGGAGGTTAGGTTTTTTGTTTCTTATTTTTAATTAAATAAAAATAAAAGCAAAACTCCAACTTCGCATAGGTAGGAACGGTTCAGGGCACAATATTCCAAGCAAAATTTTGATTTACAATTTTTTCAATAATTCGTTTAAATCTTATTTGACTTTTGATTTTTTTTTCTGCTTGGATTTGGTAGACCGCAGCACGTTAAGACAATGACGCCTTCTGTCATAAGATGTCATAGGTTAGTAAATATGATTTCTCTAATGTTTTGCAATTTTTAGGTCAATAAGTGAGGTCAATTTAATATGATAAACTGGTTATCATTTTTTCTGAACTTTTTTGTAATATCATTTGTCAGTTTATGAGATTGCCTTGCTTGTTATGACTTTATTTTATAATCGCTTAAAAAATTACAAAACAATTGCGATTATTTTAAATTTAATCAGTGGAAACTTAATTTGTAATTTAGGATAAATTACAAATTACTTTTATACAAATTTTTTATATTACAATGAATACTCAAAAGCCACATTATTATTTATATTTTAAAATTAGTTTATATCCTTTGAGCTCAACTTCTTTTGTTTGATAAAATTGCAACAACTAATTAAAAAAAAACTATACTAATAAAAGGATTCAGATATTAGGCGTAGGATGGTGGCCTTCTCTCATTCACATAATATTAGTATATGACTTTACTAGATTTTAAATAAGCATAAAAAGTAATCCCATGGATCTGCTTAGGTTAGCAGGAAATCCGTTGAATGACTTTAGGTAAGCATAAGAAGTTATCCCAGTGATCCATTTAGGTTTATTGGTTCACTGTATAAAATACGGCAAAAAAACTTACAGATCTTTTAGACAGTAAAAGAAAAAGTAATTATGAAACTCTTTATTTAACTTTTCCACACTGTGGAAAGAATCACTGTGACAAGATTCAATCTTCTGGCATTGTTAAATGGTGAGTAGTACACAAAAAAAAAAACAAAAATGATGTTATTAGTATAATAGTACATGATTATTATTGATTATTATTGTTAGGGCATGTCGTACTGCAACCGTCGGGTCTATTAAGTACCCTTCTGCGTTTAGAGTAGGCCTCTAAGCCCTGTTGCGTCAGTAAAAAAGTGATACAAAACTAACTTTACAGAGTTTTGTTGCCTCTTCCGTAAGAATATACACTCCCAGGAACCTATTTCGTATGTGCATTAGCGCAGAGCTTTCTAACAGTGTGACCGACTCCTCATTCTTTTCACAGAATCAACAGTTTGTATCCGTAAGTATATCCAGTCTTGTACGGTGGTTTATGATAGTGCATGAAGTTTTATACAAATATCAGATGCACTAACATTTGGGGTAACATCGTTTTTAAAATAGGTCGATATCTTTTATATCTTATATATTCAGTACTTCTTATTTATACCCTTTTTACAATATATAAAATTTTATTATTAATTATTATTGTCAATCACGACTCATTTTCGAAGTCAAAAAATCAACTTTTATATTTATGATGGTTTGCTACGTGACATAAATGAGTACACCCTTTGTGCAGTGTTTCTCAACAGTCCATCAATTTCAACGTTTTGTTTTTTCGACTTTAAAATTATTATTAGATATTTTCACCAAGTACATTGCATATGTTTCTGGTCAGCAATTCATTTCGGATTAGAAAACACTAATATATAACAAATTTTATACACAAATACTACTATAAGCTTTCCTTGTTTTATAGTTCTACTTATATCATTAAGGATATTCACAACCTTAGGTAATGAGGTCGGTAATTGAGTAACTTTATAACATTATAAATTGTCAACAATAAAACAAGTGTACTCTGTATGTCTTTTATTGTTGATGCTTTGCACTCATTGAGTACACTTACCGCGGTCGTTATGTGAGATCATGAAAAACCCTTTTTTATTAGGGTAATAGCCTTCAACTATGATTAAAGCTTTATTGCAGTAGTTTGAAGTAGTTGCATAGCTTAATATTACATATTTTATCTATGACATATGAAACGATCGTCAGCTTAAGTTTGTGTCTAAACGAGTGGCGGTAATCAGTAGTTTAAAGTCAATTTTAATAGAATTTTGTAACTGGGTCACGTTTATTTTAAGTTACTGTTTCTAACTCATATGATATAGTATATAACTGTTATGTATGCAAATTAAAATCTGTTCTAATTACACCACAATTGGTTAGATGGGGAGGTATAACTAATGAAGACCATTAACTGCAAACAAGCTACTAAGTCAATAGAATAGTAATTAATGTAAGCATAAATGCAGTAAAAGAGTATTGAAGTAATTATAAAAACAGACAAAGAATTTTAAATGCAATTAAGTTTAAGTATGACCATAAAAACGAAGCAATTTGTTATTTTGTTTCATAAATAAATAGAAATACAAATTAATTATAATATAAAATAATTGCAACTGACAGAAAACAATTGAAAATTATTTTATATTTATGACGGCAAGCTGAAAACGTGTACTTACATTTGAGCCAAATTATTTTAAAGCGATTATCGTGCCACAAATGCACAACACAATTGTAAACACATAAACGGCAATTTTTATTTAGTGCCACTAACTAACAGCAGCAACAATAATAAAAATTAACAACAACTGCAACAACAACAACAACAACAACAACAATTAAACAATTGCAACATATTGTCTATTATTTGGTTTTGTGGTTGGTGGAACATATTCCATATGTTGCCGACGTGTATTACAGCAGCAGCACTACTTGAGATAAGCCAAATTGTTGCTGGAACAAAGCACAATGACACAATAACCACCGCACATGATCGTCGTATATAAGCATATGAGCACATGAACGCGAGCAATTTCGAGACAAAATATAAAAATTACGAGTATCTGAAGATCGATAATAACACATGAAGAAAAACAAATTCCTAAACACCAAAATAGCTGAAAAGCCATAAAAACTAAACCGCATTCGAGCACAAATGCACTGAGATATGAATTTGAAGGTTTTTTGATTTGCTGATTAGATTCACCAATGCGCATAAAGATGTCAAACTGTTATATAATTTAAAAACTGAAAAAGAATGCTCGCAATAGAGCATTCGAAGGGTCTGAGGTGTTCAATATCGCGAAAACCTTGACGTATTTTTCGAGTTAAGAAATTCGTGGGCTTGCTTGTGGGTTTACCAATCGACAAAAAAATAAATCAACAGTTTCGAAATTTAATTTTGTTTGAGATATTTTTCTTTTCTTCTATCTTATCGATAATAAATTTAAACAATTCTAGTTTACAAAACTATCTTATTTACAATATATTTCAGTGATTAGTAAGGTCTTCTATTTTATAATAGGTATGTTAATCGCACATAATATTTTTATATTTTAAGTATAATGAGTATATAAATTAAAATTTAATAATTAATAATAAAAAATGCTGACCTTCAAATTATTGCTTATTTAATTTATTTATTTAATACAAATAGAAATTTTTTTTATTAAAAAATTTTTTAATAAATATTTTATCAAACATAATTGCAAATGATTAAATTTAATGTAAGTAAGCGAGCATATTAACAAGATCTTACTCTCCTTTAAAGCAATTGAAAGTGCAAAAACAATATGAAATTATTAACTTTAAATTAGCTTTAAAGTAAATAACTACCAAACATAAAATAATCTTTAGTTTTAAATTAAGTTGTACTTAAAAGAAAATGTTATTATCGAAACTTTTTTTAGTTTAATTTTACTTATAAAATAAAAAGTTAAATAAATAACAAGTGTTTGCCTAAAACTGGAATTTATTAAAAAAAAATCAAATAAAAAAATTAATTAATTGAAATAAGACTATATAACAACTATTTTTTAATAATAAATTCACATAACAATAGGTAATATTGTACGATAAATATTATTAAAATATGAAATTCAATAAATTTGCATTAAATTATTAAAATAAAATAAATTTGAGACTCTGGAGACTCACATAAATATAACATATAATTCATATATATATTACAACATAATATGGTATCGAATTATCTCATACTAATCAAATCCATTTGTCCCATGATAAATGTGAGATATTGAAAAATGTTTCTCTCTGTGTTGTAATTTCTAATTTAGAAAATTTTTTAATTATAAACTTTTTTTGTAATTTTTTGGTTTAATTTAATTAAATCAAGAAATAGTTCGAAAAGTTATTTAAATTAATTCGTGTAGCTTTACGGTTCATTACCTTACAATATGTAAATAAAGGGGTAAAAATTTCGTGCTTTTGATTTGGTAACATTCTT